TGATAGCATCAAAGAATGATAAACTCGAGCTGCAGGACTGCTTGGAGTTCAGTAGGACAGCAAAGGTAAGACGTGCTCCTGAACAGCATATCCCTCACCCTCTGGAAACACCGAATGACCTTGGTGGTATCTGCTTGGTGCCTGCTCCTCCCCTCACAAGATTCTCTGGTGCTGGGCCTCTTTCCCCACATGACTGTTCTGTCCCTTTTTCAAGTACCAGAGTAGGAGATATTCTTGACGAATAATCGCAGTAAGAAGATGCAATTAGACTTTGCGATTGTTGATGTTAGATACATAGAGGCTGTGTTGGGCCCTTGCAGTAATAAAAGAGTGATTGATGCTGTTGCAAAAAATGTTAATGTGCTCTGAGGTCACAGATAAACATTAAGCCCTCCCTGTGCCTGCTTTTCCAGGTCTGCATCGAGCAAAGACCTGCTTGTTGTCTCTCTGGTCGTTCTGTCTGGATGAGTTCTGTTTTCAGTGCTCCTTTTGATCAGAAACTGGTATCTTGGCCCCATGTGATCTGTTCACGGTCACTTTTTGCTTATCACATTCTCTGGTTCCTTCCTCTTCATTAACTTGGTGTTTGTGGGACACACGAAATACCCCTTCAAGTCTCCTTGTCCCTCCCTGTGCAGGCCTGTCCCTGCCACCTCTCTTAACACACGCCCTCCTTCCTCTGCCCTCTCTGGGTGCTTTTGAGCCTGATGTGGGCTTTCCTGGAACCTTCTGTGCTCACTCCATGATGTCGTTTTGTTCTCCAGTTGAAGAAAGTACAGACAATAACCACCAAGTCGAACTCGATCAGACAGGGGAAAAACCAACTTTTCCCTGTAGTCATGAATGGCAAAGAAGATGTTTTGTGGTGCACTGAGCTCGAAAGGTGAGCAAGGCTGCACTTGGAGAGGGAGTTGGTGGTGAAAAAGGACAGGAGAGGAATGTGTGGTCAGGGCCAGCGGCACACATGGACAGTTGTTTGCCTTACTTCATGGTCCCACTGCCCCTTATGTAGCAGGTATATGTAATAATTCCTTGTCAGAATTAGCCCTTATTTCCTGATAGAAATGCTCACATGGTAGTGATGAAGAGGCGTGAGGGCGTTACACAGCTCCACATGTCTGCACTGCCCTAGCATTTTCCTGTCCCAACTTACTGGGTCTTTTGAAGATAAGACCGGCTGTTCTTTTGGCCACAGTCCTCATGGGAGTGTGCAGACTCCTTGGCTGCAGTCTGCCTTAATCTCACACTGTATTGGGCTAAACTCCCATTGTCATGTAAGAACCATCTCTTGGATTTCACTTTTGTTTCAGTTCTTCTTTTTACATTGTAGCTGTAGTCCAAAGACTTTTTTTTTTTTTTTTGTCTTTTTGAGACAGGGTCTCCCTGTAGCCCCAGCTGGCCTGGAACTCGCTATGTAGACCAGGCTGGCCTTGACCTTGTAGAGATCTGCCTGCCTCTGCCTCCTAAGTGCTGGGATTAAAGGCGTGCACCACCACCACCATGTCTGGCTTTCAAAGACTTTTATAGCAAGTATTTTCATTACAAATTTCTGTTCGTCCCCCCCCCCCCCCCCCGCCTTAGGTCTTTCGACCAAAGCCTGTAGCCCCAGCTGGCCTGGAACTCTCTATGTAAACCAGGCCAGCCTCTCTCTCACAGAGATCCACCTGCCTCTGTCTCCTGCATGCTGAGATTAAAGGTGTACGCCACCACTTTTGGCTTTCTGTTCTGATTTTATTTCTTCTTTAATAAATAGTAGTTTTAATAGAGAAGTCTTTTTCTTTTTTTCTTTTTTAAAGGCAGTGTCCCACTCTGTAGCCAACCTGGAACTCATTGTCACCTAGACTGGCATCAAATTCACAGCACTCCCTTCTGTCTCAGTCTCCTGAGCACTATTTTATAGGCATATTTATAGGCACCATATTTGGCCTATAAAGTTAATTTCAGGGCTAACAAGATGGCTCAGTAGGGGAAAGGTGCTCTTTCCATAAGCCTGATGACCTGAATTTGATCTCTGGGACCCATGTAGTGGCAGGCTAGAACTAATTCCTTCAAGTTGTCCTCTGACCTTCACACCTATGCTGTGTCACACACGTGCCCCCGCCCCCAAAATAAACAACTGTAAATAATTAATTGAAAAAAATCAATTTCTGATTAGTAGAAAAATGGGTGAATTACCTTGCCCAGTTTGTCCATGCAGTGGGATCTTCTGGATTTGGAGACCCTGGCACAAAGTGTTCAGAGAGCTGATTCAGGGGCTTTGTGCAGGAGGATTCCACGAGAGACACAGAGGAAAGCAAAGTAAGCCCAGGGTCTAATTTGCTGTATCCATTCAGCCATTGGCCTATTAGTGCTGGTTTTAGAACCAGGTTGTGAGCCTGATTAATACTGAGGTTCAGTGTTCCTGTAGCCTCTTTATTTTTGTGGGTGATCTTATTCCTTCTTTTTTTAAAGAAAATTTATTTATTTATTATTTTTATTTTATGTGTATGTATGTATTGCCTGCATGTAGGTAAGTGCACCTGTGTCGTGCAGTGCCCTCAGAGGTCAGAAGAGGCTGTCGGATCCCCTGGGACTGGAGTTACAGACAGTTGTTAGCTGCCATGTGGGTGCTGGGATTCGAACCTAGGTCTTCTGCAAGAACAACCAGTGTTCTTAATTGCTGAGCCATCTCTCCAGGCCCCTCTTATTCCTTCTTAAAGAAACATTGTAGGAGTGGACATGGTAGTGTATACCTTTAATTCCAGCACTTGGGAGGCAGAGACAGGTAGATCTCCGTGAGACTGAGGCCAGCCTGGTTTACATAGCGAGTTCCATGCCAGCCAGGGCTATGTAGTGAGCCCCTATCTTAAAACAATAACAAAACAAAAAAACACACACATAAAACCTGTGGGGCTGAGGTGATGACTTAGTTGGTGAAGTGCTTGCCATGCAAGCATGAGGACCTAAGTTTGATCCCAGAACCCACTTAAAAAAGCTAGGTGCACTGGTGTGCGGGAGGACCCCTGGGGGTGCACTGGTGTGCAGGAGGACCCCTGAGGCTTGCTGGCCAGCCAGTCTAGCCTAATCTGGGAGTTCCAAAAGACCTCATCTCAAAAAAGAAGGTGGATGAGAAATGCTATTTGAGGTTGACCTCTGGCCTCCAGACACACATGCATGTATATATGTATACCCCTTCCCCAAAGGAACTGCTTAACATCTCCCATTGTGTTTTAAAGAAAAAAAATTTGTTGGTAGACTTTCTAGCAGTCATTCAGAGAGTAATTCACACCATTCATTAAAAAACGGTCCTCTATGTAGCATGTAAGGGCCAGGGGCATGGTCCTAGTACAGGGCATGCACAGCACTGGTGCCCTATGACTATCAGTTGTCAGCAAGTTCTGAAGAATCAGTGGATCTCGATCCCCTGGCATTTTAGAAGGGACTCCTGTTGACCCCAGTAGGCCTGCCTGAAGGGATGAAGAGGGGTAGTCATGGGCAGAAGCAGTATAGCTTGATGGCTGTCCCAGGTGAGGGCTTCCAGAATAAACTTCATCTTGACATACTACAAGGGTGGCACGTTGGAGGGATGGCATGTTGGAGGGATGAGCCCTTCTGATCCCACATCTTTTCACATTGGTGCTCTCCCAGGATCTTCGGCTTTCCTGTACACTACACAGATGTGTCCAACATGGGCCGTAGTGCCCGCCAGAGGCTGCTGGGAAGGTCCTGGAGTGTGCCCGTCATCAGACACCTCTTCGCCCCCTTGAAGGAATACTTTGCATGTGAATAGATCTACCCAGGGCTGCTGGAGCTCTGACTTTTTAGGGTCAGTGTCAGGGCCCAGGAGTCACCCTGATCTCTGAAGCTCTCTAGCTCTGCCCTTTCTCAGCTCACTTGTGTGGGGTCTTACCCTGTATCTCATCTCTCTCCTGCTCAGTGGGAGCAGAGCCTCCTGGCCTTTTCTTGCAGGGGAGCTGAAGTGTCACCGCCTTCTGCAGAACTCAGACTGCAGCTTAGAGTGGCCTGACATGATACTCATGTTTTCTTCTCCTAAACTTTAAAACTGGAGTCATGTACCAATATGAGAGAAACTGCCTTGTTTCAACAGTTTTTGCTAATTTTTAGGCTGAAGAATGACAGATGCCTACAGTTTACTTTTCTTTTTCATTAAAATCAATACCTCTCTATAATAGCCTGGTGTGCATTTTGTTCTACTGCTGAAGTGTGAGTCACCATTGCATTAAGCAGGGATGCCTGGGGCCTGCGGGGGCCCATGGGGCTTGGGGTCCACAGCAGTGCCCTCAGAGCTCCACCACATTAGCATCCCCTGCAGGAGTTCTGACAGCCCTGACTACCAGCCCATCTTTGGCTTCTGCTCCGTTTGATTCTGTTCCAGGGAGGACAGTGGGCCAGAGAAGGGTTATCTAAACCTGTTGCTGTGGTTAAAACACTCGAACCAAAAACGACTTAGGGGAGGATAGGGTTTATTTGACCTACACTTCCAGTGCCGCATTCCATCATTGATGGAAATTAAGGCAGGAGGAAATCAAGTGGGAACAGAGGCTGAAACCATGGAGGATGCTGCTTACTGGCTTGCTTTCAGGCTCAGCTTTCTCTCTCTCTCTCTCTCTCTCTCTCTCTCTCTCTCTCATTTATTTTTTATTTTACTTCATTTTATTTTATTTTATTATTTTATTATGTATGTGCATGTATTGCCTGCATGTAGGTAAGCGCATGCATGTCATTGTCAGTCATTATGGCCCAGGGCAGCCACTTTCAGTAACCAGCCTGGTTGGGAATGGCTCTGTGATTCTAACAACTTTTTAAAAATTTAATTTCAAAGCCAGGTGTGGTGGCATATGCCTTTAATCCTACCACTTGGGAAGCAGAAGCAGGAAGATCTTTGAGACTAGCCTGGTCTACACATCTAGTTCCAGGCTAGCCAGGGCTATAAAGTGAGACCCTGACTCACAAAAACAAAAAAATTAAATGAATTTCATTTGTTTGTGTGTGTGTGTGTGTGTGTTTGTGTGTGTGTGTGTGTGTGTGTGTGTGTGTGTGTGTGTATGACTGTGGATATTTGCATGACGACTTTGTGGAATCTGTTCACTCCTCCCTTTACATGGGACCTGGTGCTCAAACTTGGGTCATCAGGCTTGTGTGGCCAGCACCCTTAACCCAATGAACCATCTCTCAGGCACTTAACATTTCATGTAGAGTGTGATTTTCAGTGAGCTGAATCCCAACATTATACCATTCAGTGACCATTTAACTGTGTACCTGTTCCCTCACACTCAAAGCCAAAACCCCCTCTAGCCTTAGTTTTCTTGGAGCCAGCCAGCCATGAAGGTGTCCCAAACACAGAGCCAATCGTGATGTACTGCAGCCTTTGGTTAAGGAAAAGGTGCTGAAGAGAGCATACTTCAGTTAGTTAGCATGTAGGTGAGGGGCTGAGATGTGCTTGGGATACATGTGACTCTATCAATCTGACACATTCTGTCTCCTGGTGTGGATATCACTTTCATTTATTTATTTATTATTTATTTTCTCTTTTTTAAACAGAGCAGATGGTGGGGTTTATTTACAGAGGAGTGGGTGCCTGGAAAGTCCACCCCAAATATAGATCCTGTGACTTCCTGACAGCTGCAGAAAATGGTGAGAGAGGGACCTCCTGGTGTTCTCAGCTTATAGATCTTTAGCCCCTCCCCAACATGCAGCTAAGGTTGACTGATTGGGTGGGAGAGGTAACTGACTCCCCCCTCAACTCCTTCATGAGTGTGGGAAGGAGGTGTGACTATAGCTTGCCAGCATAGTGGTTGGAGTATTCTTCCAGTTAACACTCCACCCCTTCCTCCGGCTCTTATGTTCTTTCTGCCAACCTCTTCCGCAAAAGTCCCTGAGCCTTGGAGGGGGAGGTAGGTGTGGGACGATTGTCTTCCTATTATGGTAAGGTACCGAACTTTTGGGTCTCTACATCGTCAGTTTCCCATGGGCTGTTGGCCCATTTTAGTGGAATCTGGACATTGCTTTTAATCATGCCTTCAACAGGTTAAGGTGCCCTAGGGTCTGGCCCAGGGTTGGCTGGTAGGGGGTGAGGCGAGGAAAGAGTTTTGCAAGTAGAAGGATAGGTTATCAGAATGTTGCTCCTGACTAGAGCAGCCAAAGTGAGATTTGCCATGGTGATGCAACTGGTAATTAACAAAAGGTTGGGCATACATTCCACTCTCTGAGGACCTGAGACCCAAGGGAACTTGGCTGCCCAATTAAGCCATCTTGTGTACAGTACTGCACCAAATGCCAGGACAGAATGAAGCAGAATAAACAGCTCCTACCTAGGAACATTAAGAAAAGAGACAGACTGTCTCTCCAGGTGAGGGGCCCTGGGGTGTCCTGGACTGCTTGTGGGGCAACCTGGTTGGTGTCTTGGAGGGGCTCTTGTAATCTCTAACTTCGCTTAAGATGGACTAGGCTCAAATATGAGTGATTTGGGCTCTGGCTGTGGGAAAGTATGAACATACTGGGGCAGAGGTTGGAGCTGGCGTCCCACATAGGCCTCTTGAAGCAGTCTGGTGGGTTTGTGCCTGGGTTCTGACATACTGCTGTGTTACCAGGAGCAGAGGCCTTGACTTCTGGCATTTCCACTTCACATATAAAAGATGAGGATGAGAAATACTATCTGCTTTATATAGTGTTCAAGGGTGAGATTTGGGTAAAGTGTTTTGCCTGGTGACTCATGGGTAGCAAGCCTTTTGCTTGGATTAGGCAGCATTAAGAAAATGAAAACCAGTAGTCACTATAGGGTTAATGGCACTGAAGACAGTATAACAAGAGTAACAGCGATGCTTATGAATCAAAATAAAAAGGACTGGACAGTGTTTCCCATATGTGCAGTTGCTGGACCACTGATGCCAACTCTGACAGCACTTGGGTTCTCAGTGCTCCTTGTGAGGGATGGAGTGAGGTGGTTTTGAGCATATGGTAGGGACCTTGTTGGGTTTTGGGGACTGGCCTTGGGGTGGTTTAACAGTTATGTGGTGATGGGGTAAGCAGCAGGCAGATAACTCTCCTGCTCTTCTTTCATCCCTCCCGCTGCCTAGCTACAAGGTTGAGTGTCTGTGCTGGGCTGTATTGGTCCTTGAGTCCCTCTCTAGAGCCAGATTACCTGGGTTCCCAGACTGTCACCTGCCCTTCCTTGTAAACTCAGATATTTTAGGTAGATTCTCTGCATTTCCCTGCTACCAAGCTACATGGTTTGTTATCTCAGCACTTGGGAGGCAGAGGTAGGGGTATTGTCACAAGATGGAGGCCAGCATGGTCTACATACTGAGTTTCTGCCTGGGCTACATAGTGAGACTCTGACTCCAGTAAGAGTAACAGGAACAAAAAAGTTGTGAAATGTGTGTGTGTGTGTGTGTGTGTGTGTGCGTGTGTGTGTGTGTCTAGGCACATGTGTACATGTGCACATATACACGTGAAGGCCTGGAATTGATGTCAAGTATATTCCTCAATTGTTCTCTACTTTTTGAGGCAGGGCTCTTGCTGAATCTGGAACTCACTAGTTCCAACAATTTGGGAAGACATTATAGGTGTGGTGGCACTCAAAAGACTGATGCAGGGGACTGGAGAGATGGCTCAGCTATTAAGAACACTGGCTGCTCTTACAGAGGACCCAGGTTCAGTTCCCAGCACCCACATGGCAGCTAACTTAACTCCAGTTCTGGGGGATCTGATGTCCTTTTCTGTTTTCCTCAGGTATTACACGACATGGGTGCACTTACATGCAGGCAATACATTCGTACACATAAAATAAAAATAATAAATATGTAAAAAAGATTGAGGCAGAAGGATCACTTTGGGTTTGGAGCCAGCTTGGGCTATATGAAACCCTGTCTCAAAAAACGTAAGGAAGAAAAGAAATTAAAAAATAAGAAAGCATAAAAAGAGGAGACAAGAGACAAAAAAGAAGCCATGCAGTGCAGAAGCAGTGTGTATGTGAAGCCTGATGTCTAACTGTCAGTGTTGCCTGAGGTGAGACTGCTCCTGAGAGTCAGCACTGCGGGACAAAGCACTGGCTGGCATTGCTGGATTTGCAGTTGCTCACTGAGTCTTCACACGTGCCAGTCTCTGCTGCCACCAGGCTGGTCTTCCAGGTCTCACCTCTTCCAGGAGAGCTTCCTTCCTGGCCCCTATTTAGGAGCCCTTCCATAACTTCAGTGAAGTTGTCAAACTTTTTTTTTTTTTTTTTTGGCCTTTTTGAGGTAGGGTCTCCCTGTAGTCTCAGCTGGCTTGGAACTCACTATGTAGACCAGGCTGGCCTTGAACTCACAGAGATCCTCCTGCCTCTGCCTTCCAAGTGCTGGGATTAAAGGTGTGTGCCACCATGCCCAGCTTCAAGCATTTTTTTTCCTTTGTTATGTTGAGACAGGGTTTCATGTCGCACAAGCTCGCCAAGAACTTCCTATGTGGCCAAGGATGACCTTGAACTCTGGATCCTCCATTTTTAACTCCTTGAACTCTGGATCCTCCATTTTTAATTCCTTGAACTCTGGATCCTCCATTTTTAATTCCTTGAACTCTGGATCCTCTATTTTTAACTCCAAATGTTGGAATTACAGTTTTGAAGCCTGGGTTAAGTTGTCATACATTTGTAAAACTTAGACACTGACATCACAGTGTTTTGTTATTGTGAAGGAGTCTCACCATTTCTGTCTGCTAATTGCTTTGCTTCACATATTAAAACAATATCTTAAAGATTCATAATAAAAGCTGGAGGGATGGCTCAGTGGATAAAGTGCTTGCTGTACAAACATAAGGAGTGGAGCCCAGATCCCTAGAACCCATATGACAGCCGGGCAAGCGTGGTGGCCACCTGTAATCCTAGCACTTGGAAGGCAGAGACAACCCCGGGGCAAGCTCGCTAGCAAGACCAGCTGGAATTGATGAGCTCCAGGTTCATCAAGAACCCCTGCTTCAATAAATAAAGTAGAGAGTGATTGAGAAAGACATCTGAGGTCAACTTTGGACTTCCATATGCATGCACACTCATGTGAATGTGCTCCCGCCCACACACATGTATCCCCGTACTTGCCAAATGCTCATATACACATGATGAATACACACATACATACACACATATAGAGAGAAATGATGCATAATAAAGGAGCTGGAGTTGTAGCTCAGTGTAGAGTTCTTGCATAGCATGTGAGAAGCCATGGGTTTGATCCCCAGGGAGAGTGAGAACCACATATTCAAATCTAAATCTACCCTCCCTTTTTCCCTTGCTCCCTCCCTATGTTCCTCTTTCCCTTCCTCACTCTCTTTCCTCTCTTCTCTGTGTGTGTATGTGTGTGTTTTGGGACAGTGTCATGTTGCCCAGATTGGTCTTGAACTTGTCCTCCTGTTTTCACCTCCCAAGTGTTGAGATTACAGGCATGCACCACCATACATAGTTTCCCAAACTGTTTCTCTGGCAGGATGGACTTCTCTTTTCCTCTTATTTTCTGGATTGTTATAGTCAAGACTAAATCTGATGATGACAACCTTGGTGTATAAGTTACTTTTCTTGTTGCTGTGACCAAATGCCTGACAAAAGAAACTTGAGGAGGGGCTTATTTTGGTTCATAGTTTGAGGGGATGCAGTACATCATGCCAGGGAGACGAGACTGCATGGTGACAGGCATCTCTGCATGTGGCAGCTGCTTGCTCACATCTCAGTGGACGAGGAAGCCAAGAAAGGGGAATGAATGCCAGTTCTCCACTGGCTTTCTTTTCTCTTTTCTGTTCATCCCAGGACCCTAGCTCATGGGAACATTCTGCTCTTGTGTGTGTGAGTGTGTGTGTGTGTGTGTGTGTGTGTGTGTGTCTATGTGTCTGTGTGTGTAGTCTTCCTCCTCCAGTTAAACCTCTCAGGAAATGTTCTGCCCTCACAGCTATGCCTACAAGTGGATTGGATTCTCTGAATCCAAGCAAATTGATGCTGAAGATTAATGGTGACCTGAGCAGCTCATGTCCCTCTCGCTTTTCTCTTTGGGAGCTGTCATGGAGGGTAGGTGAATTTTATTTTAGAGGCCCTGTTCAGAAAGTTCCTGAAACTCACTGTGTGTCTAAAACCAAGCCCACACTTCCACTCCTGCACTAGCAGCACTTTTTTTTTTCATATAGGAGGGTGTTGCTGTATATCCCAGGCTGGCCTGGAATTCATAGTCCCTCAGCCTCAACCTCCTTCCTAAGTGCTGGGATTACAGGTGTGCATCACCATGCCTATGGAGAAGCACTTAGTGACTTTTTCCACTGATTTCATCCCCACATTAATGTCCTCACCTGCCAAACAAAATGGCCTGTAGATAATATAACAATTAACTGGCATAATTTAATAATTAACATGATATGAAAGGACTCAGACACCATGAACATGAATTGAGTACATACTCCATGCTAGGTGCTAAGAACTTTATATGGGGCTAGGGAGGTGCATCAGAGCGTAAAGTGCTTGTCACCCAAGCATGAGGACCAGAGTTTGGAACTTCAGTACCCACATAAAAGCTAGATAGGTATAGCACCCTTCCTGCAATCCCTGCACATGGGAACATGGGAAGCAGAGACTTGGAATCACCAGAGCAAGATGGCTGGTTAGACTAGCAGAATTGGAGAGCTCTTAGTGATAGAAGACACTGGCTATCTACCTTGGGCCTTCATAGGTATAGGCACACACACACACTGGCATTCATATAAACATGCATGCACACATGCACACAACACACATGCATGTACACTTTCAAAAATAAATTAATTCATTGGGGAAAAATGTATACACATTAATTTTCTCCTGTTAGTTATAGGGATAGAAGCCAGGGTCTTATGCCTGCTAGGCAGGCACTCTATCATGAAGCTACAAACCCAACCTATCCATATCTCATTTAATGTCAGCTCCTAGCAATGTCAGGGTTTAAACCCAGATCTACTAGTTTTGCTATTTCTGATGTTTATTTATTTTGTTGGAGACTTAATGTCCTCATATATAAAATGGGATTATCAATGTTGCTCCAAAGCACTTATGAATATTTTAAGTGGATTACTGATGCTTTATTATAATGTTAATTTTATTTAATTTTACTGTTTCATTTGGTCACAGAGTTCTTCGCTGTTTCCTTTTTTTTTTTGAGACAGGGTCTAATGTAGCCCAAGCTGGTGTTCAACTCACTAGGTAGCCGAGACTGTAGTTGAGCTCCTGGTTCTCCTGCTTCCACCTCCAAAGTGCTGGGATTACACCATGTTCTGTTGTTTCATCATTTTTAAAAAAATACTTTATTTATTATTATTATTAATTTTTTTTGAGACAGGGTCACCCTGTGGCCCCAGTTGGCCTGGAATTCACTATGTAGATCAGGCTGGCCTTGAATGCAAGAGATCCATCTGCTTTTGCCTCCTGAGTGCTGGGATTAAAGGTGTGCACCACCATGCCTGGCGGGTTGTTAACCATTATGTCGGTGCTGGGAATCGAACCTGGGTCCTCTGCAAGAGCAGCCAGTGCTCTTAACTGCTGAGCCATCTCTCCAGCCCCTGCTTTGCTTGAATTTTCCTACCCCAACTCTTTTGCAAGGGTAATTGCTCATCTTTGAGGACAAATGCCAACTTTGGGAAATCTTCTCACACTGTCAAAGTGAAGTCAAATCTCTTGTAATATGCTTTTGGAGTTGTACCCACCATAGAAACTAGAAGTATTTGGGTTGGGGATATAGCTGAGTTGGTAGAGTGCTCACCTAGCATGCATGAAACCCTGGGTGGGATCCCCAGCATCACATAAAATGGGTGTGGTGGTGAGAAGCTACAGTGCCAGCTTGCTACCCATTCTTCTGTGAACACCTCCCTGTGCTTCAGCAACTGAATGAGACTTGGCACAGACTTTATGGGGCCTCGAGCACATAATGCAAATGCTGTTACTCTGCCAGATACTGCTCTTGCCTAGCCTTCAATCTGATTTGTCATTAAACAGAGATTTATATCATTAATATGCCCTCTTTGCTTCCTTGCCAAAGTAGAAACTTTAAGAGGTCAAAGGCTATCTCTGGTTTTAACTCACAATCAAATTGGTCATGGAAAATCAATATTTGTAGCCAGGCTTGGTGGCACAGGCCTGTATCCCAGCACTTGAGAGTTGGAGATAGGAGGATCAGGAGTTCTGTGTCATTCTTGGCTACATGAGAAGGTGGAAGCTAGCCTGGAATACATTGGACCCTGTCTCAAAAAACATTTGTTGAATATATAAGTAAGTGATATTTGGACAAAGAAGTCATCCTGAGACCTGGATCCAACTCTGCGTTTCTGAACAAGTCAATTGGCCTTTCTGAGCCGTTTCCTCTGCTGTGAAGTGGTGTAATTCATTCTTTTAATGAGAGTCTAGGTACAAGTTGTGGGGACACAGCTTGGAACTAGAGTAGGGAAGTGCTTGTTTCTGTTGGAAGACAGAAAACAAAGATAGAAGTAAATAAGAAAACTTTATGACATACTAAGAGTAACCCACATGATATTATATGTGGTCTTGTATCACGTATGGTGTGGGCCCAGGAGGTGACTTGTCTTTTCTGTTTTTATTTTATGTGTATGAATGTTTTGCCTGCATGTGTGCAATGCCTGAGAAGGCCAGAAGAGGACGTCAGATGCCCTGGAACTGGAGTTAAGGACGGTTGTTAGTTGCCATGTGGGTGCTGGGAGTGAACGTGGGTCCTCTGCAAGAGTAGACAGTGCTCTTAAGCGCTGACCTATCTCTCCAGCCCCACAAGTCTTTTCTTAAACTACCTACCAAATAGCATCTTTGATCAATAATCTCTTTTTAAAAAATAATTATTTTTATTTATATAAGTGTACGCATGTGTGTAGCCATACGTGTGCCATGGCATGCATGTGGAGGTTAGCAGACAACTTTCCTTCCTTCCCAGGGGATCAGTCTTGGTGGAAAATGCGGAGCCATTTCGCCGGCCCTTTTCTCTCCCTCTTTTGGTTTTGAGGCAGGGTTTCGCTGTGTAGCTATGGCTGGCCTGGCACTAGGTAGACGAGGCTGGCCTTGAACTTGCAGTGATTCTAATGCCTGCAAGAGGGCAGGGAAGTGGACCACCGGGCGGGCTTTTTTTTTTTTTTTTCTGAGACCGGGTCTCGGGTCTCCCAGGCTGAACTCAAACCCCCAGCTGCTCTGGGATGATGATTCACGTGCTGCTGGGAAACAGGAGTGCTCCACCGAACCCAGGGGTTTGTGCAAGCTGGGCGAGGGCTCTGCCATCTTAAGCTCTGTCCCGAGTCCCATCCAACAATTCATCTTTGATTTTCTTCTCGGTGACTGCAGCAGAGAACGTGTAACTGGGCCCCGCCTTCTGAGAGGAGGCACACCTCATTGGTTGCAGCAGTCCACGTGCCCACGGTGTCGCCCCGGCCCCCGAGGGCCCCAGCCGTCCATCAAGGGCCGGCCCCGCCCCTGGCGCGCGGCTCCCTCCGTCCCTATAAAAGGAGCCCGCTGACGATGACGCGCCTGTACGTCGGCGCGTCACCGCCGAGTGCGTGTGAGGTCATCGCGCGGGCGGCGGGCGGGGTCCTACGGTTTGAACGGGAAGAAGACGGAACCGGAGCTGGGCGCGCGGGCAGCGGCAACGGACGCGGTTCCACCGAGAGCCGGTGAGCTGGCTAGCGGGCCTTGGAGACGGCGCAGGCTACACGCCGGGCCAGGCCCCGCGGGAGGCCGCAGCTCTCGCGGCCGGGCTCGGGCGTGGGGGGAAGGGCGGGGCCGTGACCCGCCTCGCGGCCCGGGTCGGGGGCGCGCGCTCCGCTGTCCCGGGGGCGGGGCGTGGGGCCGGAAGTGGGGGCTGAGGGGCTGAGGCCTGGGGGTTTCACCGCCTGCGGGAGGTGTAGGGCCGGGGAGCTCGCGGGTGCTTGTGAGAGAGAGGGGGGTGGGCCTTGCGGGGAACTCTGGGGGCCCACCATGTAGGAGGAGGTTTTGCATAATAGATGAGTTTGGTGTAAAGGACCTGGGTTCAACTCTGTCACTTGATCTTGAGCAGGTGCTTTATCCCCTCTGGGCCTCAGCTTCGTTGTCTGTAAAATGGGGACAGTAGTGTTATGCGCAGAAAGGGCTGAACGTGGTGCTTGGCAGAAGTAAGCTAGCTCTTTGGGTTCCTTACTTTCTTTAGCGGGTGTTAGTTGAGTGCCTAGTAGGTACTAGGCCCCGTGTTGAGTGCTGGCTTTCCACCAGGGAGTAGTAGGCAGGCAAAGACATGCTTTCTAGGAGCCTGTGCGGAGAGGGCTGGGGAGCAAGAAAATGAATACATGGCCAAGATAATTTCTGTAATTACTGGGAGGACAATAACAGGGAGATAGCAGTAAGGCTTTTCCAGTTCCTACTCAGCTGCCCTCCCCACTGCAGGGTATAGCCTGACCTCTGCCCCGTGTCGGAGATGAGGATCTAAAGGCCCATTGAGGGAAGTCATGCCAGGCCTGATGCTTGCCTCTGATGAGATGTCTTAAAGAGCATGCATCAAGATAGCTCTTTAATGGGCACTTGCTGTGTCGCAGGCATTGTGTAAGATGCTTGATGTAGCATTGTATCATTTAACAGTCACACTGTCTCGAAGGGATGTTATCTTCATTTTTTTTGTGTATTTTGTTTTCTTTGGGATGCTGGGTGTTAAGTCAAGGGCTTCCCCAGTTAGGCAGGCTCTCTGTCACTGAACCTACCCTTCCAGCTCATCTTCCTTTTACAGAGGCAGAGTCTGAGACTGAGCAGTGAAATGACTCACCTTATGTTGCCCCCGAAGTAACTAAATCCATCCTGACTCTAGATTCTTAACCTGTAATGTCTTGTCCCCTCCTGCCCCAGATCTTGATAGTATTTCATACAGACGTGCTTTTTGAGGTGGTGTCAAAGTGCCTAGCATACAGAAGAGCTTGGGACTTGGTGTACTTTTCTGGTAGCTGTGTTCACACTGCTTTGTGCAGAAGTCCATTCTGCAGGTGAGCCATTTCTGATGAGAAAGGTGAAGTGTTTTACTCAGGGTCACTTAGCTCTTTTTGGTGCCACCTCCCTTCTCCCTTTTCTGTAGGACTCAGGGTGATGCTTGGAAAGTAATAGGGTGTACTTTAGCCTGCATTGAGTTAGAGTGACTTGGGGAACCAGGCAGGGTGGTGCATACCTGTAATCTTAATACTTGGGAGGTAGGGGCAGAAGAATCAGGAGTTCAAGGTCATCTTCAACTGCATAGCTGGTTCATGAGACCCTGTGCCTTAAAACAGAATAGACTGAATTAGGGAGCCTGCTAGGAGAGTGGTTAAAAGGGGGAGATGCCTGAGTAGACAGGAAGGAGCTTTTTCATTGTAGTTGACAACCTAGCTCAAGGAGCCCTGGAATAGCAAGGTGCATGTGGTATTCAAGGGTCTTACCTTGGCTAAGCATTAGCACTTTTTGTTACTTTTTTTTTGAGACAGGGTATCACTCTGCAGCCCAGGTGGATCCACCTGCTTCAGCCTCCTAAGCGCTGAGTTTACAGACATGGGCCCCCACATCTGGTTCAAGCAATGGCATTCTTACCAGAAAGGACGAGAGAAGCCTGGCTCTGAGAACTAGCCTGTTTTGACTGCCTGGAAGAGCCAATTAATTGGTTGAGTGAGTGGATGTTTATTGCACATCCACAGGGTGCCTAATCCCATGTATTTAGTGGCCACAGTTTGTGGAGCACATGGGACCCAGTATTAATGTACTGCTAATGAAAGAGTTTTAAATTATATGATGAAAGGCCATTAACATTTTCTGAGCTGGGGTGTGGTCAGGAGACATGTGGCTTTAGCAGCTGCTTTCATTTTATGGTAGCATGAGACACAATGCCTGATGTATACATGAATGTTGCCAAGACTGGTCTGCTTTTTTGTTTGGATGGCTTTTTTGTACCTGAATAACATCATGTATACAGCTTGCATGTCTCTTACTAGTTCATTCAGGGATTTTACACAAGGGAGAGATATGTCATCTGATTTGTGATTCAGAAAATTATTTCTGGCTGCTGCGTAAGGACAGATTGAGACAGACTAATTTGAGGACTTGCAGTGGATCTTGAGATGGTAGTGGCTGATCTCAGGCACTGCTTTCAGCACTGAAGTTAGCCTAACTGAGAGGTGGTCCCTGCCCCAACCTTGTTTCGTATAGCTTATGTTTGATCTAATGCCAGCTGTGTCATGTTCCTTCTGTGATCCTTTTCAGATAGGTTGTATTAACTTAGAACTGAGGTACACTGAGTTTTAGAAACTCGCTCAAGATTACGCAACTAATGAGGTGGCCTTGAATTCAAGCCTCCAGCCTAAATCTGACCTGGGAAGGGTTCAGAAATGGAGAGGGAGTGTCAATTCAGTGTGATAATTCCAGTCTAGAGGTTTGAATGAAGTGCTTTGGAAACAGGGAATTAATTCCCTGTAGAGTAAGGAACTAAATTGTGCTGTTTATTGCATGATATGATAAGAATATTGAGAGCTCACTTTCTGAAAAGTTTATGTGTTTTCCTCCTTCACAGTCTGAAACAAGTAACATTTACTGAGACTGAGCATTCACTCTGTTCAAGGCACTCTAAAGTGCTGGGCAGGGAGTGGAGTGGACAGGGATATCAGGGGCACCTTACAAGTTATCTTCTCTGTACTCCTGCTCATAAGAAGAGCACTGGGTGGGTGATCGCTGTTTCTTTATGTCTCTTACAGACTGTAGCTGTGTGACTCGGCTTGCGCTCCATGCAGGACATGGATGTGGGAGGACCAGCTCAAACACTAGTTATTGGGTGGAGGGAATGAAGTGCCTCCAGAGAACACAGGGCTGGGACCTCATGGTGGCTCCAGATTGTTGTGAATCCTACCTCTCACTCCACTGGCAAGGTCGATGTCTCAGAGAATGAAGACAGTTCTCATAGATGACTATAAAACCTACTGTTTGGGTTGATGAAAAGGCTTAGTAGGAAAAGGTACTTGCCACCAAGCTTGACGATTGGAGATCGATCCTTCAAAACCACTTGGTAGAAGGAAAGAACTGACTTCCACAGATTGTTCTCTGACCTCCTCACAGGCACCTCCACACTCATGCATATGCTTGTATATGCGCGCACACACACACACACACACAGTTGTTCTCTCACCTCCACACAGTACCTCCACACACGGATATGCTTGTACATATACGCATAACACATACACACAAAAACATACACATTAGTGACCAATACATGTAGTCCCAAATACTCAGGAGGCTGAGGCAAGAGCCCAGGAGTTTTAGGCCAGTGTGAACAGCATAGTGAGATCACCATTTAAAAACAGAAGAGATTGTTTTAAAAGTCTGGCAGAAAGGTAACAGACAACATTTTCTGAGAAACTGGATAATGAGATTGAGCAGGCTTGGCTACAAATACCCAGGGCCTCCCTTTCTTGACCCCTTAAATGAAAAGAATGAAGTTAACCTTGAAGAGAATTGTTAAATGACAAGTGTCTTTGAAAGACCAGGTACCCTCCTGTCTGCAGGAGTGCAGCAAGAACAGTTAATGCCAGGGACTCTTGTGAGGTTATGACCTGGCACCACCTTTGTATAGTACCTAGGTTATTGAAAATTGTGAAAGTAGATTGATAGTACTGGGAATTGAACCCAGGGCCTGGCAACCCATGCTAGGCAAGCAAAATACTCTTGTCGATGAGCCATACTCCCAGGCCTTGGTATGTGTGTATGTGTTGTTTTGAGATGTCTTCCTTGTAGCTTATGCTACCTGAAGTTTAGAGACTCCTGCCTCAGCCTCCTGAGTGCTGGCATTACAGGTGTGCTACCAGCACACCCACCTGTATTAGGGGATTGAACCCAGGGCATCGTGCGTGCAGAACACATGCTGTACTGCTGAACTACCCCTAGCCCTTGAACTACCGTTTTTTGTTTTTTTTTTCTTGTTGTTTTACGTGTATGCCTGCGTGTATGTAAGTGTACCTGTGTCATATAGTGCCTGCAGAAGAGAAGAGGGCAGGGCGTTGGATCCCCTGGAACTGGAGTTAGCTGCCATATGGGTTCTGGGATTCAAACCCAGGTCTTCTGTAAGAACAGCTAATGCTCTTATCCACTGAACCATCTCTCCAGCCCTTGTTTGTTTGTTTTTAAGTTGTGCATTAGCCTCCCTTCATAAGGTACTTACTGATCCCTTTTTTTAGTGTCTCTTGTAGCTTATAATTTTATATCCATCTTATTAATATGGGGTCTAAGTTTTAGACTGGTTAGTTTGGGGCAATTTACTTCAAGTTATTTTATGCTTGGAGGCATATGACTGGAATCTTAGTGTCTGGTGTTACCCCTAAGGGAAGAAAGCTAGGCTTAAAAATTGAGTATTTTCACAGGTTTGCTCTGGTGGCCTCAGGAATGCTTCCATTTTCATGCTCACCATAACACGAGCCCTTCTCTCTTCTCATTGCCTCCTGTAGAAGATGGCAGTGAACGTGTACTCCACGTCAGTCACCAGTGATAACCTAAGTCGACATGACATGCTGGCCTGGATCAATGAGTCTCTGCAGTTGAATCTGACAAAGATAGAACAGTTATGTTCAGGTAAGAGACATCCATTTTCTACCTTTTTTTTTTTGAGACAGGGTCTCCCTGTAGCTCCAGCTGGCCTGGAACGCACTATGTAGACCAGGCTGGCCTTGAACTCACAGAGATCTGCCTGCCTCTGCCTCCTGAGTGCTGGTACTAAAGGCGTGCACCACTTTTAATAAGCCCGTGGGTTCTTAGGGAATGCACAGCTCTGTATGTGATGGGCAGAGCCACATAGAGAGATTGTTGTTTCTTTCAAACCTCAGTGCTAACATGCTTCCTGTTTTAAAAGGCCCTATGCTTAGTGCTGTGCTTGGGGCTCAGTTGATAGAGGACACTGCATAAAATGTATAAAACCAGGCTTGGTGGCACATCAGCAGAAGGATCAGAAGTTCAGAGTTATCCTTGACTACTTAGTAAGTTTAAGGCCAGCATGGGCTACATGAGACCCTGCCTCGAAAGTAAATAAATGAAAGAAAAAGAGTATGCTTAAAGAGAAGTGCGTCTGGCCTGCCAAGACTGCATCCCAAGGTCTGTATCTCGGCCCTAGTTCTCAGGCAGTGCTTCTGCACAGTCACATTTCAGGTGGTTCATCTGGGGACAGTAACTGTATTGCTGTTCTTTTAAAAATTTTTCTTTCTCTTTTAGTGCTGGAGCTTGAACCCAGGGCCTCACACATGCTAGGCACATGCTTTATCGCTGAATAGTACCCCAGCCATCTGGTTTTATATTAGTTCATCATTTATATTACTTATTCCCAAGAAGCACAAGACCAAGTCAGGCAAATACCATTTCAGTCACAATTTTATCAAGTCACAATTTCCCAGCAAGGTAATGATTTAAAACAAAAGCAAAAACATGGCCTGTTTCTGTACATGAGAGTTGGAGGACATTTAGAAAATAAAAGATACCAATAATTTTATTATTCAAAGAAAGTTACTATTTGGATTTTTTTCTTTTATTACCTTTCTGTGTGTATTTCTCCTATTGCTTTTTATGTATGTATTTTGTATTCCAGCTTTTTGCTGGCTATTCCCTGTCATTCAGTAACTTGGAAATGCTTATTTTGAATGGCCTAATATACTCTGTCTTTCTGTGGATTTATTGGAGTTATTTGATCTCATACTCATTTTGAACATTTAGGTTGTTTCTAGTTTTTCTGTTTTTTTGTTATGACTAGGTTAGATAGCCTAGCTGACCTAGAATTCAGTACATGTAGCCTAGGCTAGTCCTCCTGCCTTACCCTCTTGAATGTTGTGATTATGCAGGCCTGTGCTACCACTCCTGGCTTCATAAATCTTGCCTCTATTTTCTCAATGATTTCTAGAAATGGAATCATTAGATCAAAGAGTATGAACTTTATGTGCTCAGTAATTACTTATCATAGAGGTATTAGTTATCTTTTACTTATGTCTGAATTGTTTTGTTGTTGTTGTTTGTTTTTTGAGATGGTCTCCCTGTAGCCCCAGCTGGCCTAGAACTCATATGTAGAGCAGGCTGGCCTTGAACTCATAGAGATCTACCTGCCTCTGCCTCCCAAGTGCTGGGATTAAAGGCATGTACCATCACACCTGGCTTTTTATTTTATTATTTTAGTCTTTTTGAGGCAGGATCTCCCTGTAGCCCCAGCTGGCCTGGAACTCACTATGTAGACCAGGTTGGCCTTGGACTCAGAGAGATCCACCTCCCTCTGCCTCCCGTGTGCTGGGATTAAAGGCATGCGCCACCACGCCCGGCTTCTGGCTTTTTAAGTTTATTATTTTTATTTCATGTGTATGAGTGTACTGCTTGCAAGTGTTTAAGTGCATCCATGTCGTCCAGTGCCCACGGAGGTCAGAAGAGGGCTTCAGATTTCCTGGAACTGGAGTTAAAAGATAGTTGTTAGCTGCCATGTGGGTGCTGGGAGCCAAACCCACGTCCTCTGCTAGAACAGCCAGTGCTCTTAACCACTGAGCCATCTCCAGCCCCCTAGGCTATTTTTTAACTAGACATTTTTTATTATGTTTAATTGTGTGTGTGTGGTGAGTACGAAGCATGGCTCATGTGTGAGGACAACTTGTGGGAGCCGATTCTTTCCATCATGTAGCTCCCGAGGATTGAACTCAGGCTGTCAGGTGTGGCAGCAAGTGCTTTTTTACCTGCTGAAACCATCTTTTTTGGGTCTAATTTGTCTTTTACTGACTTTTTTTTTTTTTTTTTTTTTTTTGTGAGACAGAGTCTTATGTGGCTCAGGCTGTCCTCAAACTTGCTATGTAGCTGAGAATGACCTTGAATTCCTGATTTCCCTGCCTCTATCCCCCACTGTGCTGGATTATAGATGTGAGCTACTATGCCCAGCTCTTTCATTGACTTTTGAGTTCAGATGTGGTAAAGAGCATGCCAAGGTTGTTGTTGTTTGTGTTTGTGAGTGTGTGTAGTGTGCATGTCCCTTTGTGTACCAGAGCAGGTCTTTTGTTCTCCACCTGTTTTCTTGAGACAGGGTCTTTCACTGAACTGGAGGTGGAAACTTGCTATTTTGGCTTGGTTTTCTGACCAGGCTAGGTGGACTGACCTAGCTCTTGAAATTTGCCTGTCACCGTCTCCCAATGCTGGGGTTTTAGGAACATGCAGCCATGCCTCACACACTGAGCCATCTCCCCAGCTTTGCGTGGCAGAGCTATTAAACTGGGTCTCCCCACAGGTAATAGATAAGGTTAAGAATAATAACAAAAAAGGGGTATGCTTCTCGTTCTCTGTCTTGGAGGTGGGGATGTAACTCAGTGGTAAAGCACTTGTATAACATGCACAGGTCTCTGGGTTCAATCCCCAGTGTTGGTGGAAAATTTTGCTAATGGGACAGAGAACCAAAACCCCCTGTCTCCTGTCATTTACTTGAACTGTTGTTTTACAAGGTCACATAAATCCTATTGTTTTTTTTCTCTTTTTGGTACTAGGGATTAGACACAGGACTTGCACATGCTATGCAAGGGTTCTGGCACTAAGCCATAGCCTTTTTTGTACTTTTTCTTTTGAGACAGGAAGTCCCTAAGTTCCCCAGGCCTGGCTTTAACTCACTCTGGAGCTTAGGTAGTCTTAAGACTTTGTTCTCCTACCTCAGTGATTACAGACAGGCCTGTCTGACCAGGCTCAACTATGTAAAACCTTTTCAAATGTCTCCATTAATTCTCAGTGTACTTCCAGGAGATTGGTACCTCCAATTTCCCATGAAAAAGGTGACTTGGAGAATTTGAGTAATAAGTCTAGACATACAGAACCAAGAACACAAGTGGAATTGGAACTTTGGTTCAAATTGAGAACCTGTATTCTTCATTCCTTATATCCTGTTTGCTCTGTACTTTTTTCTCTACTGACTGGTACTATTTGGATTGATTTAAAGTGACTACCATTCCTTAACCTTTTTTTTCTGTTCTGTTTAGCTTTTGTATTTACTTCTGTTTGGGGGTTGTTGGTCCTAACTTGGTCTTAGTTTCATTTGTCTGTCTTATTTTCCCGGTGAGGTTTAATCTGTTCTACATTTGTCCAGAGGGAGGCTTTGTGAAGTTATACAGTAAATCAGTGGTTCCTGAGAATCTTGTTATTAAACTTTGTTATAAAAATAGGTTAGCCTTAGATCTGTGCTGCTTTCCCCCATTTCCTGTTCATTTCTTGTCATTCATCTGTGTCACCATTTGTTGAAGGCTTTTGAAATGCTTGTTTGCCCTGTGATCTATGAGTAATGTGGGAATTAGGTCATCTTTGTTTTCATTGGATACTGATTTCTCACCAACAGTTTTTCCCTAAAATTTACCTCTTTCTATAAATACACTCCAAAGTATTTCTCACTTAAATGCATCTCTTCCTGTGTAGATAAGTTGCACATGTGCCAATCAGGCCCCAGGTTTATCTCATTTAGGCAGGGAGTGGTCATGGACAGGACTAGGCATGACAAGGCCTTTAATCAGCTCTGAGCCATGGTGACATTGGGTGAGTTTCTTGATGGTCTTTTAGTACTGTTACCTCATCTGTAAACTGGCAGTAGTCCTGGCTCACCTCTTTGGCTATTGTCAGGGTACCGTGTAGTAGTGCTGATTGTGTTTCAGATTCTGGAAATGAGTAGAGATCTTTGGAGGGGATATATCTCTTTTTCAGATGGACTTATGCGTTGCAGAGCCTGGTTTTGAACCCAACGTGTTTGTGCATTTTCTATTGTGCTCGCTCTCTCCCTCTCCCTCTCTCTCTCTCCTCTCTCTCTCTCTGTCTCTGTCTCTGTCTCTGTCTCTGTCTCTGTCTCTCAGATTTATTTTTATTTGTGTATGTGCGAATATATCTCTTTTTCAGATGGACTTATGCGTTGCAGAGCCTGGTTTTGAACCCAACGTGTTTGTGCATTTTCTATTGCTCTCGCTCTCTCCCTCTCCCTCTCTCTCTCTCCTCTCTCTCTCTCTGTCTCTGTCTCTGTCTCTGTCTCTGTCTCTCAGATTTATTTTTATTTGTGTATGTGCGAATATCCATGGAAGTCAGAAGAAGGCCTTGCATTCCCGGGAACTGGAGTTACAGGTTGTTGTGAGCCACCTGACATAGGTACTGGGAATTGAACTGGGTCCTCTGGAAGAACTAACAACACTTTGAATCTCTGAGCCACCTCTCCAGGCCCCCCTAGTTTTTTTTTTTTTTTAATTTAAAGATATATTTTATTTATGTATTCATGTGTCTGCATGAGTTTATGTTAATCACATGTGTGCAGGTATCCACAGAGGCCCGAAGAGGGTGTCGTATACTCTGAAACTGGAGTTATAGGCTGTTGTGAGCTGCCATGTAAGTGCTGGGACCTGAACCTGGGTCCTCTGCAAGAACATTCAGTGTTCTTTACTATCTCTCCAGCCCCCATCATGCTTTTTAAAATGGTAACATTCAGAGCCAGGCATGGTGGTGCACCCTTTAAGTCCCAGCACTTGGAGGCAGAGGCGGTAGATTGTGTGTTTGAGGCCAGCTTGGTCTGGATTTCGAGTTCTAGGCCAGCCAGGGCTGCATAGTGAGACCCAGTCTCAAAACAACAACAAAAAAATCATTCAGTGAGCCAAGTTTATCGTATTGTGTTATTGTTCATGCAGGGGCTGCATACTGTCAGTTTATGGACATGCTATTCCCTGGTTCCATTGCCTTGAAGAAAGTGAAATTCCAAGCTAAGCTAGAACATGAATATATCCAGAACTTCAAAATACTCCAAGCAGGTTTCAAGAGGATGGGTGTTGACAAAGTAAGTTTATTCCTTCATTTAGATAATTTTAAAGTATTTTTTTATTTTTAAGTTTTTTTAGGCATTTTTTTTGGAAAGATTTATTTATGTTGCGTAGGTATGTGGGTGTGTGTGTATATGTGCTGTGTGTGCATGTGTTTGGAGGTCAGAGAATGACTTGTAGGAATCTGTCAGTCCCCTCCTTTATCATGTGGGTCCTGGGGATTGAACTTAGGTCATTAGTCTTGGTAGCAGGTGACTTTACCCACTGAGCCATCTCATTGGCCCTTTTAAATTTATTTTCAAAAATTGATGTAGCTCAGGGTGAACGCCCTCAGCCTCCTGAGGGTAGCGATTACAGGTGTGAGCCATTATGCCTGGCTCTGTTTTTCTTAAGTAGTATTTGGTACTAAGGATATGGATGATGGTCAAGACTGACATTTTCCCAATTTAGGTGCCTCTTTCTCTGGTTAACACAGTTTACAGGGTGCAAAGTTTCCCTCTTCCTTATGTCTCTGCTCCCTTCACTGCCTTTTTTCTTTATTGTCTGAATTCAGTAAGTAAATCTGTACCAGTGATTTTTTTTTTTTAATTTATTATATTTTTTTATTTGTGTGTGTGTGTGTGTGCGCACGCGCCGCTTGGTGAGAACCTTTCCCACTGAACCATCTCACCAACCCTGTACAATACTTTTAAAAATATTTAATCTCTACTAGTCTGAAGTCTGTTGTAATTTCTAGATTCACTTCTGTTAGGGTGCTGAATCAATGCCTTGTCCTGTTTCCTTCCTTCCTCCCTCCCTCCTCCCTCCCTTCTTCTACCCTTTCTTCCCTTCTCTTCTTTCTCTCCCCTCCCTTTAGGGTCTCACTGTCAACCCAGGCTGACCTCAAGTTCAGATCCTTCTGCCTCAGCCTCCTGAGTGCTCACAGATGTGTGCCCCTGTACCCACCTAGGGAATTTGCTTTATGGTATAATGAAACTTATATTATGTTTTCAGATGTGTTTGGTTGTGTGTGACTTACATGATGTGTTTCCTTTTTTGTGTGTGTGTGTGTTGCTGAGGATCAATATAGGCCTGTGCATGCTAGGCCTCTGAACCATATCTCCAGTCTTTGTTCCTTTTTCATTTAAGATTTATTTTCATTAATTTGAAGGACTACATAGAGATTAGTACTGGACTGAAGGCAAACTGAATGAAACTTCTACGGGCTTAGCAGCAAGATCTCTAAAATGTTTTTTTCTCCTTTTGGCAGAGCTTTATGTTGTTTTCATGAGTAGACAGGTTAAACGTTTGCTAAAGCCTTTGCTTTGGGATTAACAATTTGGTTTTTCTCTGCAGATAATTCCTGTGGATAAATTAGTAAAAGGAAAATTTCAGGACAATTTTGAATTTGTTCAGTGGTTTAAGAAGTTTTTTGATGCAAATTATGATGGAAAAGAGTATGACCCTGTAGCTGCCAGACAAGGCCAGGAAACTGCAGTGGCTCCTTCCCTTGTGGCTCCAGCTCTGAATAAACCGAAGAAACCTCTCAGCTCTGGCAGTGCAAGTAAGAAAACCACCACTAAACCTCATTCCAATAATCCTCTGTTCCTCATTCTCGGTCCTTCCATTCATTTAACATTGAATCAGAATGTTGTTGTTTTTCTTTTAGTGCTTGGGCATGGTAGGTAAATGTTCTACACAGAGCTATCCTGTAGCCCTAGGTTTGGGACCTTCAGAAGTGTCATCTCACGATAGTCGTGTGGTAAGGATGTGGCAGATCTGTGTGTGTGCTCTGCAGTTCATCCTTGCCCCAGAGATCTTCCTCCTCTATAGAATGTGAAATGATACTTGCTCCAGAGGCCCAAATGAGTCATTGTACGCTATTTTACCTAAGGTCTTTAGATCCATGTAGTAGAAATCCCTTAAGCTAGCTCACATAAGAGAACCTTAGTTACTAGGAAATGAGGACAGTTCACAGAATGTTAAGAAGGTAAGTTACAGTTAGGTATGAATTCTAGGACCTCAAGGGCTTTCTAGGTCTTTGAGGGATTGTCCTAGGTTGTCTGTGTCATGCTATCAGTCTGTCGGCCAGCTTTCTCTGTTTGCTTTTTATGGCTTCTGTTCCTTTAGGGAAGGAGGTGCTTCAGCTGGAGAACTGCTGTGGCTTGCCCTGCTGCTAGCAGAGTCTGGGAGGCAGGGGGTGGAGGCTTTTTGAGGATGTTTTGAGAAGGCTGGGCTAGTTAGATATGTTTTTAATAGAATATTCATAGAACATGTGGATTGTTGTGTACCACCACATGGAGTTCTTCAGTTCTTTTTTTTTTTTTGGAGACGCTCTAGCTCATACTGAGGATGGTTTTGAACCTTGAACTTTCGATCCTCTTCTATCTCCTGTTCTGTTTGAATAGCTTTATCAATACAGAATTTATAGGCCATACATTTTGCCTCATAAAATGTTCAAGTTTGTGTGTATTCAGGTGTGCCCAGGATAATTGGGATGTCAGAGGACAACCTTGGGTATTTCTCAGGCACTGGCCACCTGCTTTTTGAGACAGGCATCCTAGTGACTTGGAACTCACCTAGTAGGCTAGGCTGGCTGGGAGCCCCAGGGATCTGTACAGCCTCCCCATTGCTGGGATCATAAGCACACACTATCACACCCAACTCAGCATTTTTTTTTTTTTTTTTTAATAATGTGGGTTCTGGTGATTGAACTCAGGTCTTTATGCTTTCAAGGTAAGCACTTTACTGATGGAGTGATCCCTCCAGCCCTCAACCTTTTTTTTTTTCTACTCATAATTGTATAACCATTATTACAGATAATTTTAGAATATTTTGGTTACCCAAAAAGGAGCCTCATGTGCGTTCATTAGCAGTCACTTCTCATTTCCTCGAACTTTTTTCCCTTCCCCTAGCTCTAGGCACCCACTGATCTGTTTTCTGTCTGTGGCTTTGTTTATTTTGGACATTTTGTATAAATGAAACCATAGAATATATGTGATCTTTGTGCTGGCTTCTTTTACTTAGCATAGTAATTTCAAAGTTCATGTGTGCTACAACATTTTTTAGTACCTTGTTTTGTTTTTTAACACTGGTGTCTCACATGCTAGGCAAGCTTTCTACCTCTGAGCTGTGCCAGCCTTGCCTCCCATCCCTTTTTAAAAATTTAAAAATTTTGAGACAAGATCTCACTACATTGCCCAATTAAGTCTTGAACTTGTGATCCTCTCGCCTTCCTCTCTGGAGCAGCTGAGATGAACAGCCTTTGTCACAGGCCTGGCTTAGTTTCTCATTATATATCTCTAACTGGCCTGGAATTCACAGGCTGGTCTCAGACTCACAGAGATCCATCTGCCTCTGCCTCTGGAGTGCTGGAATTAAAGGCGTGCACGAGCCACCATACCCAGCTTTAGTTCTTTTTATTGTAGGATAATATTCCAATGTGTGTTCACCTCATTTTGTTAGTGAGAGTCATTTGAGTTGCTGCTTTTTGATTGTTACGAGTAACGCTGCTGTGAAAATTCATGTATACTTTCTGTGTGGGCATGTTTTTATTTCTTTTGAGTGTATACCAAGTATATAGCTTGAAGCTGAATTCCTGGGCCTTGTAGTTAATCTGTGTTTAACCTTTTGCAGAGCTGCCTGTTTTCTAAGGTGGTTGACCGTTGATAGTACAGTCAGTGGTGTAGGAGAGTTCTGATGTCCCTCAGATGCTGTGTGTTTTTTATTCTTTAGGATAAGACCCACTTTGGGCAGATGGGCTGTGTTGTGCCCTTTGCATCTGGGCCTCTAGTACTTGTTTCTTAAGTCTGTGGAAAGAACTTGATCACCGATACCTTTGCTGCTTGTGTATTTTTCTCTGCTTTTAAAGTCTCTCCTAACATGCTTAGCCCTCTCTCAGCTCCACAGAGACCCATTGCAACACAGAGAACTACTGCAGCGTCTAAGGCTGGTCCAGGGATGGTGCGAAAGAATCCTGGTGTGGGCAACGGGGATGATGAAGCTGCCGAGCTGATGCAGCAAGTATGTGTCTCCTGTGTCTTGGATGTCTGTTACTGTAGGGTTTTACTTGCTGCAGTGACCATGGTGTGTGTGTTGGTGGAGCTACTTCCTTGCCCAGTCAGTCCTCTTGACTACAAAGTGGGGAGTGAGCTGTGAGTAGAAAAGAGATCACGCTTTCCTAGTACCATAGAAACCTATGTCTGTCTGGAAATTAGCTCTTAAAAAAAATAGCTCAGCAATTAAGAGCACTGGCTGCTCTTGCAGAGGACCTGGGTTTGATTCCCAGCACCCACATCATGGCTAACAACCGTCCATACTCCAATTCCAGAGGATCTGACACCCTCTTCTGACCTCCTCGGGCGTTGCATGACATGGGTGCACCTACCTATATGCAGACAATACACTCATACATATAAAATAAAAATTTAAAAAGTAAAAAGATGTATTTATTTTTACTTATATGTGTGTCTGTGTGGATGTCTGATGCCTGTGTGGATGTCTGCTGCATGTGTGCTGATACCTGTAGAGGCCAGAATGACAGATCGCCTGGATCTGGAGTTACAGGTGTTTGTGAGCCACCCAAAATATGTGCTGGGAACTGAATTCAGGTCCTCTGGAAGACCAGCAAACACTCTTAACCACTGAGCCATCTCTCCAGCTCCCGGAAATTAGCTCTTGAACCCTGTTGATGTCCTCAGGTTCTCTGGAAAGGCAAGTCATTTTCTGGAGATTGGGCCAGACGTGGTGGGGCATGACTTTAATTCCAGTACTTGGGAGGCAGAAGCAGGCAGATCTCTGTAGGTCTTGTCTACATAGTGAGTTCCAGGCCAACTGGAGCTATAGGGAGACCCTGTCTCAAAAAGGCTGAGAAAACCCAGCTTTCTGGAGATTGGACTTAATAGAGTGGAAGTTGTAGGAAAAGTCTTTTTGCACTTCTGGTTCTGTTCACAGTTCAGTGATTGGAATTTTCAGGATTAAAGATCTTTGTAGATTTGGATCAGAAAATAATTACAGACTTTTAATCCTTTTCATACAAATTATACTTGTATTTGTTCTGGAACTCACTATGTAAAACCAGGCTGGCCTTGAACTGCCTCCACTGCCTCCTGAGTACTGAGATTAGAGGAGTATACCACCATGCCTGGTGGGAGCTAACACTTTTAGTAGTTAAGTACATTTCAAGAGCTGATGTTGTATCAGATGCCTGGGATGGGTACCAACTCCATTGGGATAAGTGACAATAGATGAAAGACAATTGTGATTATTATTTGTCTAGATAGAATGGAATAGACTCTGCATTGTTCCTTAGAAATTCACATGAATCAGAATTTCTTGGCTTATGTGTGAAATAAGAAATGAATGTTTATAACAAAAACACCAAAAATACTAATATTTTTATAGTTGCTTATGCCGTGTATTAAGTACTTTTAATTTCAGTTTTGTGACAGCCCTGTGAGGTTTTACAGATAAGACAGTGTAGTTTGGGGAGCTGACTTAGGTGAGGATTTGAACTCAGGTGCACCAGGCTTCAGAGCTGCCAAGTGGGAAATTGAGGAGATTCTGACTTGTCTGAGGTATACAGAGGTTCTTTGCTTACACCCAGTGTTGGAAGTTGTTATTATTTACCATAATTACTCTGGGAAAATTGCTGCTAAATATTGGAGAGACTTTCAAAGCATAGAAGACTTTGCTTCAGCCTAGATATGGTCCTTGATATAAAGAAAATTTGCTTGGTTCTAGTCTGATCCAGAGAAGGATTATGGAAGTATTGCATATGTAGTTAAGAGTCTGGGGAGACTTCTTTTCCTGATAGGCAACCAGAATAAACTGGTTTGGATGACCAATGTAGTAGATTCAGTCATTGAGATTGGGCGGGTTGTGGTTTTGAAGCGAAGGTTTGGATCTCTGGTTATATGCCTCCATCAGGGGCATGGAAGTCAGGAGGTTGAGAGTGCAGAGGCTGATGCTCACCAACCAGGTTCTTTGATCCTGAAAAGCTAGGGACAAGCATTCATAACCAGCTGATCTGTATTTGCCACACAGATACTTTGGCCTGTGTCAGGTTTTTTTGATATAGAAGTCACATGTAGTCCAGGCTTGCCTTCCACTTGCCTCAGCCTCCCAAGTGCCGGGTTTACAGGTGTGAACCTGTGAACCTGGCTCTTGGCCTGAATAAGGTTTTTAAAGTTAATGTGAAGGATTCTAAGCTTTCTTCAGGCTTCCAGAATCCATGCCTCCAAAGATTCTTGGTTTTACTCTGCCTGGCTTCCCTGAAAGTATTTGAATATGTAATTCTTGATAAATGGGGGAAATGGAGCCAGATGGGCTTGTTAGACTGTTTCTTCATCGGTAGGTGCCTTTCAGTACTTACTTATCCTTGGGAATATGCAGGGATCCCACATTCTTATTCAGGAGATAATTTTTTTTGAAAAAACTTTTGAGATAATGTCTCACTGTATAGCCTGAGTTAACCTGGAACTAGCTATCCGCCTGTGCAGAATCTTGAGTGCTGGAATTAGAGGTGTGTACCACTATGCCTGGCTGATAAATTTTCTTTGAGTGACATGTTTTACAGTTAGAAGCTGTATTTAGTTTTTTAAATCTGGTGTATATTTAATACTTCGGCCTATTAAAGTCCCAGTGGCTACATGTCAAGTAAACCACATGTGCCTGGTGGTTACTGTGTTGGCCAGTGCAGGCTCCAAACCATCTTTTTGTGCTTCTTAGGTTATAGCTGTTGACTTTACTTTGGAAAAGTTTTAAGAGAGGAACTGATTATTAGACAATTTTTTCTTTTTTTGAGAAGAGCCTTGCTGTGTAGCCCAGACTGGCATGGAAATCAATTCTGCTTCAGGAGGGAGGCTGGAAGACTCCTGAGTGCTGAGATCACAGGTGCCCATTGCTAGGCCCTGCCAAGATTTGTTAGTTTATTTATTTGTATGCATGTTTGTGTATGTGTATGTGTGTGTGTGCCTGTGTGAGTTTCTGTGCACTGTGTGTGCAGGAGCTGGTGGAGATGAGAAGAGGGCATTGGATCCCTTGGAAATGGAGTTATAGGTAAGCCACCATGTGGGTGCTGGGAACAAACCTGGGTACTCTGCAAGAACAGGAAGTGCTTGTAACTGCTGAGCTGGCTCTCCAGCCATAAGCTTTTTTTTCTGAACGGCTTTGTGGGAATCAGAGCCTTTGAGTGGGGCTTGTGGCAGATTGGAATCCCACTTTCCGTTGGCCTCTACATGCAGCTACACTTGGACTTGATTGACTAAACAGTCTCAGGATTCAGTTTAGGATTGTCTGTTGCCCTGTAAGACCAGCTTGTGTATTTTACTCCTGTGTTTCAGAAAACTGTAGTTTTCCCTTAATCCTTCCCTAGTTCCTGAGGTTCTCTAACTTTTTTTTTTTTTTTTTTTTTTTTTTTTTTTGTTTTTGAGACGGCACCTCCCCGTAGCCCCAGCTGTCCTGGAACTCACTATGTAGACCCAGCTGGCCTTGAACCTCCTTGTTTTCAGAAAACTTGTGTTTTCCCTTTATCCCTCCCTAGTTTCTGGGGTTCTTTTACTTTTTTTTTTTTTTTTTTTCTGATCTTTTTGAGACAGGGTCTCCTTGTAGCCCCAGCTGGCCTAGAACTCACTCTTAGACCAGGCTGGCCTTGAACTCAGAGATGCCCCTGCCTCTGCCTCCCAGTGCTGAGATTAAAGGCGTGTACCACAGTGCTTGGCCGGTTCTCTGATATTTTAAGATATAGTCTTGTAATCTTCCCTTTCTTGGGAACTGCTAGGGTCAATGTTGCCATGAACCTAGTATATATTATTTGAGGCTGAAGAAAATGGACATTAAACCAAACTGGATTTTTGCATATGTTTCATTTTGATGAAAGACCATGTCATCTTTGGGGTTTGCTATTTCATTACTGCACTAATTAATGTCTCACTATTTTTAATATCCTGTACAGGTCAAAGTATTGAAGCTTACTGTTGAGGACTTGGAGAAAGAGAGAGATTTCTACTTTGGAAAGCTAAGGAACATTGAATTGATTTGCCAGGAGAATGAGGGGGAGAATGACCCTGTATTGCAGAGGATTGTAGATATCCTTTATGCCACAGACGTAAGTGTTTACATGTAGATAGCTTCTTTCCATTTTTTGGCATCTAAGAGAAAATAAGTTTAATGTAGTTGATTTCAGAATGCTTTGTGTTGCTACTTATGTTTCCATATAGGGTTCACCAGGAAACTTTGTTTTTGATCCGTCTAAGTCACCCAGAGAGAACTTTGCCCAGTCCTTGAGGTCCCAGAGCTTTTGAGGAAGCAGTAAGCTAAGGAGGTGGCTGGCTGGTCTGCCTAGCTTCTGTAGTTTGTAGCCACTGATAGGCCACAAAAATGCTCTTATAAGGCTAGAGGCATCTCATTCCCCATCCCACCCTTGCAACTTGGATGCTCCAGCTTGAGGTATTTCCATTGTCGGGGCCCCAACCATGTCGTTGATGTTTGATGCCCATAGCTATTAGAGTATGCCTTTGCTCCTGCCTCTCTGGAGCGTGCCTGGTTTCCTTTGTGATTTTCTTTGACTCCATCTTTATTACAAAGCCTTTAATGATGACATATTAGCTGATCAGGGAAGGCTGATTTTTTTTTTTTTTCCTCCCCCCCCCTAGATTTAGGATTTGATATGTGGTTGTGTCTACTGTTAATAGTTGTATTTGTAATTGTGTGTGTCTTTCAAAGTCTGTAGAATCAAACTACAAACTATTTGTTATATGTGTAGTATTATACAAATATAAAGTAGCAGTCTTCTAAACATATCTTTGGAATTTTTGAGGAATAAAACAGATGACTGGAGCCGGGCATGGTGGCGCACACCTTTACTCCCAGCACTCAAGAGGCAGAGGCAGGCTGATCTCTGAGTTCAAGGCCAGCCTGGTCCACATAATTCAGGACAGCTGGGGCTACAGGGAGACCCTGTCTCAAAAAACAGATGACTGGAAAGCTGATAATTTATGCAATAAATTCTTAAGGTTTGCTTTGTGCTAGATAATGAAAAGATGATGAAGATATAGGGGTGTTTGGTCTGGTCTTTTAGTGAAGGCACATCTTAATTAAGCTATAGAGATTTAGTTAAGAAAAACAGATGTTTTCTTGTGGCGTGGCCATTCCGTGCTGTGAGTACGTGCAGAGTGTTCCACTATGAACATGAAGTGGGACTACAATCTGCTCTGTTCTTAGTTTTCCCATGCTACTAATGAATATCGGGCCAGGCTTGCTCTTGCAAGTACTTGGTTAAACATTGGCTATAAGTACAACCAAAGGAATACATAAAGGCAGAACTAATAGGTAGTTTAGTGAGATTAGATGGTAGGATACTGAACTTTTTGTTTTTGAGACAGCCCAGGCCAACCTTCAACTTGGGCCAGTCCTCCTGCCTCAGCCTCCTGAGTGCTTTAATTACAGATGTGAGCCGTCACACCCAGCTGATTGAGCTTGAGAGGCAACTTCAGATTTTTGCTGTTGTTATTTGTGTTTGTTGATAAAGGGTCTCACATAGCCTAGGTTGGCCTCAAACTTACTATATAGCCAAGGATGCCCTTCAACCCGATCCTTCTGTTGCTACGTTCTGAATGTGTGGATTATAGATAGGTACCTGTCCTAGTTTGTTTTTCCATTGCTATGACAAAATACTCTGACCAATACCAACTTGAGGAGGAAAGGGTTTATTTCATCTTATATCTCCCTGGTTACAGTTCATCAGGGAGCCCAAGGTAGGAACTCAGGGAAGGAATCTGGAACACAAGCCATGGAGGAACACTGTTTACTGGCTTGCTTCCCTGGCCCATGCTCAGCCTGCTTTCTTACACAACATAGGCTTATGTGCCCAGGGTGGGTTGGGCCTTCCCACATCACTCACAATCCAGAAGATGCCCCACAGACATGGCCACAGGCCAGTCCAATGAAGGCATTTTCCCAATTGAGGCTTCCTCAGCCCAAGTATGTCAAGTTGACACTAAAGCTATCCAAGCATATCATTGTGATTGCCTAAATTTTATCAGCTTTTTAGGATTTTGTTTTGTAGTACTGAGGATTGAACCAGGCAGGGTTTTGTCTATAGTAGACAAGTGCTTTACCACCATCAGGAATTTTTTGAGGCAGGGTCTCATTGTACTGCAGGCTGCCCTGGACCTCACTCTGCAACCAGTACCTCATGGCCATTCTCTGCCTTGTCCTCCTGAGTGTTGGTGTCACAGGTGTGAACCACCACTCCCTGCATTGGAATTAAGGACTTTTTGAGGGATTTTTTTTTTTTTTCTCTTTTTAAATAATGTTATTCAGGCCCTGTTAACTGCACATTTTAAACATACATATGATTGTGAAATCAGACAACATACTTAGCACTTCTAAGGTTTCAAGGATAAATTTGTGCTTAGTTTGGGGCTCTAAGAAATGGTGCTGATGCCCTGTGTGTTGGACACATGCCTTTAATCTCAGCACTTGGGAGGCAGAGGCAGGTGGATCTTTCTGAGTTCAAGGCCAGCCTGGTTCTAGGCCAGGCAGGTGGATCTTTCTGAGTTCTAGACTAACTGAGGCTTCATAGTGGGACCCTGTCTCAAAAAACCATAAAAAAAGAAAAGAAAAGGTACTCTTGTTCAAAAAATAGTGGTCACCTGGTCTGTGTGATTAAGTGCCAAGTGTGTGGTGGACAGGAAGAGCTGCCTACTTTGAGAAGCTTTAGAAACTGACCACTCAGTGTTGAGTAACAGCTTTCCCCCTTTTATTTCCCCATTTCAGGAAGGCTTTGTGATACCTGATGAAGGGGTCCCACAGGAAGAACAAGAAGAGTATTAAACAGCCTGGACCAGCAGAGCAACATCCGAATTCTTCACTCCAAATCATGTGCTTAACTGTTAAATACTCCCTTTTATTATTCTTAGAGGATTCACTGGTTTCTTTTCATAAACAAAAAGTACCTCTTCTTAAAAGTGCACTTTGCAGAAGTTTCACTCCTTTTCCAATGAGTTTGAGTTAGGAGCTGTTACCTTGTAGCAGAGCAGTATTAACATCTAGTTGTTTCACCAGGGGGGAACAAAGAGGCTGACCACGGGGCTCTCCATGTGGATGCTGGTCACACTGACTGATGGAGAAGGTGTTTTTTTTTTTTTGTTTTTGTTTTTGTAATACATTGAGGTGGTAACCTCAGAGAAGTGTAAAGACTTAATTGAAATTTAAGCTAATGTGAAATCTTGGCAGAGAACGTTTTAATAAATAAATGCCTTAAAAGTATTTAAAATATGCTTCCATATTTCAAAATATAAAATGTAATGTGACAAATTTTATGTGTCTGACATTGTGTCTGGGAAGGGCCAGACTTTAGACCCTTTGGAATCTGCTGTCATAGGCCTCACGGGGCTACTTGAATCTATACATGCGTGGTCCTCAGCCCAGAAGGAAAGTTTAAGAAGTTGCTGTGTAAAGCTATTTGGTGTCATTGACCAGTTGCATCCCTGCTATATCCATGCTATAAAACAAATGGCATTGGTTGCCTGGTGGACAGAGGGTAGTTCCCTGAGATGTTTGAAATGAAGAGCTCACTTCTCAGTGAGCTTTCCTCATGACTTTTCAAACTATCCCCCAAATTCCTATGTATTGTTTCTTGGGACTTGCCCACATCGCTGGGATTTGCATGGGCATTGTGTCCTATTTTACTGTCTTTTAAGTTTACATTTAACATGTTTCTCTTCTCTGCTCCCTTTGACCTCTGGGGACTCCTGGCTGCTTAAGTTTGCTGCTGAGTGTTTTTAAGTACAGCAGACAGGTGATCATGCTGCAAGTTCTTGGTGGACCTCTGGCAAAGGGAGTGATCAGTGATGAAGGCCCTCAACACCTTGGGATCTCCAAGGCTGAGGTGTTTTTGGTATCTGCTGTTCACAGCTCTCCATCGTTATCCAGCTACTTTGCCAGTGCACTAATCTCTTTGGAGATAAAATTCACTAGTGTGTTACTAAATGTTAATTTTTTTTTTTTTTTTGCAGGATATCCAGTACCATGACTGAATTAATTGTTAATATTTAAAATAATTCCTTAGCTCTCCCTCATTTGCTTTGCCTACAGCCTGTTAGTTCCTTTGTTTGGCAGAATTCTGCCAAATGTATGTTATCCACTACTGAGATTGTTCAGCCCCTGACATGTCTGTATTGATTTGTTTCTGGTGGTAGCTTGTCCTATGATGTGTATAGAAAACAGGTATTTTATGACAGATTGTTGTGTAGTGCATGCTCTGTGTGGAATTCAGAGGAAAACCCAGATTCAGTGATTAACAATACCAAAAAACAAAACAAAACAAAACAAAAAACCCACACAAAAAAATGCAAGTAACTAGCCATTGTTCAGACAGCAGTGGTGCTGTTTCTCCTTTGTGGCCTTTTAGACTTTTGTTGACCCCAAATTCCATTTTATTGGGAACTCATTTTCCACCTGGTCTTTCTTGACAGGGTTTTTTTCTACTTTAAACAGTTTCTAAATAAAATTCTGTATTTCAAGAGTGTCATGTCTTCTGAAATTTGTCTTGTTCCAGGTATCAGGTTTCAAGTTGCATGTCCTTCAGTTGATCTTAACAAGAGGTTGAGAAGTGATGATACCATCTTTCTTAAATAGTACCTATCTTTTCAAATCCCTCACTGGTTTTTCATATCAACTTCCCTTTCTCCCTCCTCTTTCTTGTTTTTTTTTTTTTTAAACAAGGTTTTGCTATGTATTCCTGGTTGGCCTCAAACTTACGGCAATCCACCTGCCTCAGCATGCTGAATGTTGGCTATGTTCAGGTGTGTGCCACCATGCCTGGCTAAAATGTGCTTACTTTTAAGCCCTCTTCCTTAGTTCTTCATTCACGTTACATTTCTCAGCTGTTTTACGTTCCTGTCACTGAGAGGATTTTTCTCTCAGAAGCCAGCAGGTCGGTCTAACTGCTGTGAAGCTTTTTCAGGCCATTTTCTCTTCAGAAATACAGCTGGACAGCTTGACAGATGACTATGTACAGATAAGTCTTGTTTTCCTGAAATATATTTCAAAGGCATTTAGTTTAGTCTCAACCTGGAAAATAAAGTTGTTGCCCTTCTTTCCTCTTCTGTACAGCCCCATGCATTTAACAATGAATTTAAAAGGCAACCTAACACCATTTTTTCCAGTAAGAAATAAAGGAAAATGGCTGGAAGGTAATTCATACGATCTTTAAAGTACCTACCATAATTACAGTTGCTCTGGAAATGAAACTTGATTTTTACTCTTTCTGGAAGCTAGTAGTGTGATACCTTCCCTGAAGTGCCACCCCCTGTTGGGAGGAATTTGCCACTGTTTGCATTTAGAGTCTATAAGAAATCTCTGGAGTCTGTCATTCCTGAAGACATTGTGGGGTACTGTGGACTGAGAAGTTACTTGGTAACGAGTCAAGCTGATGCTATGTGTACCTCTAGCCCGTTGACCTGGCTGAAGCACAGTCAGTCTTAATGTGACTAATTCAGGTTAGGTGACTGGTGGACTTTGATGAGATGCTTGCCAAGGTCTGTGGCATGGAGGAGAGGGAGACAAATGGATACTGTGGGTAAATTAGGATCCAGGATTCGTTCCTCAGGCTGATCTCCTTAAAGTGATAGGCTTCACAGTCACCTAGGGACTCTGGTGTATAACATTTGTGAAGTCCATCCCCAGAAGTTCTTGATTTGGGAGATTACAAATCTGCATTTTAATAATGTACCTCTGGAGGGCTATACCTGGATCCTGCCTAGATGTCTGCAACTTCAGGTCTTAGTTCTTCAAAGAGAACATCAGATTTGTGAGTTTTCAGCTAATTGACTTCTCTCGCCTGCACAGGATGTAGTGGCTAAAGGGCCTGCCGCACCGCCTGTTAGGGTCAGTGGAAGCAGGCTGATGTGTGTAGCAGCTGTAAAGACAGGAAATTCTCATGAGACATGAGGCATTATAGCCTGCGGTCTTCAGGTCTAGCCTGAAGCTCTGTTCATAGATCAGGAAGATTAGGACAGGGTTTTCTATCCTGAGAATTCAGGAGGGCATGGCTTTAGGTATTTCTGAAAAAGATACGTTTTAAATGATTCTTTTTCAACTTGGTGGTTTTGATGTCAAATGTTGTCTCCAGGCTGATTTTCATCCTGTTTTTTCCCTCAGGTGGAATCAAGGTCTAAACCCATTACATGTTTCCTTTTAAATTAAGATTTAGTGGCTCCCCAGTTCATTGGATTTAAAAGATTCATGCTTTTTTCCAAGGATATTCTCTAGGATGTAATCTGTTTGTGAAGACAGAAGCTTGCTTTTGCTGTAACCACAGTGATTTTCCAGTGAAATTTTTCCTTAAATATTACTCGGTGAGATTTAGTGTGGGAGTTGGTGATTTTACCATAGTTCATGGTTCCCAAATCAGGCAGTAGGCTTTAAGCCTCGTCAGTCTGGCCAGATTAGTTTGCTTGTGTGTGCATGACCCAGATCAGACTGTTAGCAGGGGGAGGGAAAGATACTGCTTTGAACCAAGCCAATTATTAGCTTGTGATCAGTGTACATGAATCACTGGTTATTTTTCTGCCTGGGCACTGTTGCTGTTCGCAATATGTCATACTTTTAAATTCTCTTCGTTCATGAATCTTCAAAACTGAACATGATGGTATTCTGTATGTTTATGATGTTTACTGCCTTTTTCATGGTATTTGAGTCAGGTTATAACTAAATATGCAGAATTCTTATAGATTCTGTACTTTCACACTGAACTTGACTAGAGTTGGAACCACTGACCTATGTGACTTAGCTAGGCTGTTATGCAGTTACAACTTGTGAAGATTTATTTTTCCTCTTTGGTTTAATCCGAATTAAAAGTCTTGTTTCTTTTAGTGTAGTGGTTTTCTGTTGACATTGTGGTCAGATTGCATCATTAATTTGGTTGTCTGGGTGAGTGGGTCTATTCTTGGAGTCCAGTTTCTATTTCTTAATCCAGAACTTTAAATCTTTTTGAGATGGGGCTCATGTATCCCAGACTGGTGGTGAACCCACTGTGTAACCAAGGATGACTTTGAACTTTGGATCTTCCACCTCTTGAATGCTGAGATTATAGTTGTGCACCACCACACCAGTTTATGTAATGCTGGGGATCAAACCCAGGGCTTCGTGAATGCTAGGCAAGCACTTTACCAACCAAGCTTACATCTCCAGCCCCTGTGAGTGCTGTTGTACTTTGAAATTTTAAACCTTACTTGAAAGAAGAGGTAAGCAGTGTTTGTTTTATAGGCAGCTACAGGCCCCTACTTTACCCCTGTGTCAGTCACCTCATAGTAATTTTAAGCCTGAATGTAGATTGAAATAGATAACAAATAGATAATAAATTTAAAGAATTTTTAACATTTAATATTGCCTCGAGCTTTAAGAAGTACCTTCTTTGTTTGGTTTTTGTTATTTTGAGATCTGGTCTTGCCATGTTGCCCAGACTGACCTTGGGGTTTGCTCTTTTCCTGCTGCAGCCTTTTAAGCAGCCTGGATTGGCTTGTGGTTGCCTTTAGCACTGTGATGTGGTAGGAGGAATGCTCTTTTAAAAGTCAATGTGCCTCCAGGTGTGGTGGTGCACACCTTTAATCCCAGCAGGTGGATATCTGTGAGTTCAAGGCCAGCCTGGTCTACATAATTCTAGGACTGCTGGGGCTACAAGGAGAACCTGTCTCAAAAAGACCAAAAAAAAACAAAAAAAAAAAAAAAAAAAAAAAAAAAAAAAAGTGCCATGCTGACCTCAAACCTTGCTGCCAGCTAAAGATGTGATGCTGAAACTAATGATCTTCAGGGACCTCTTTATTCTCTTTGTTGGCTTGTTTATTTTTTGAGACAGGGTCTCAGTATGTGGCCCAGGCTGACCTCAAATACACAGTGATCCTCCTGCTTCTGCTTCCCAAATGTACCACCATGCCCAGCTTACATATTAAGATTTTTGACAAATTACATAGAGCTGAAGAAGGAGCAAGTTTTTAAAAAATTAATTAAAAGAAATTATTTTCTTTGTATGTGTGTGAGTGTACCTGTGTCATGCAGTGCCCTTGGGGGTTAAAAGATGGCGTTGGATCCCCTGGAGCTGGAGTTTTGAATGATTGTTAGCCTCCATGTGGGTGCTGGGACCTGAACCTAGGTCCTCAGCAAGCACAGCCAGTGCTCTTAACCACTGAGCCATTTCTCCAGTCCCAGGATCAAGTTTTGATATTTCAGAATTAACAGTGAGGGAACAGCATTGATGTTGCTGAGTGAGTAAAGAGGTGCCTGCGGGGGGCTCCCCTCCATTGCCATCCATCCCTGTTAGTGGTCAGACTTTCCTTAGGATTAGATAGTGTTTTCTTCAGGGATTCTTCTCTAGGATGTAATGCCTGAATTCATTTCATATAGGGCTGTTAACTTCTAAAACAGTTTTTTTGTGCTGAGGTTTATCTAGATTTTCCTTCTAAATGCCCACCCACTTTTTAAACTTGAGTTACTGATTATATTTTTTACTCGTTTGAACTTTTCCTTAAAAAATGCACTGTAATCCAGTTTGTTTCCCCTATGTTTCCCCAGAGAGGGGGAATATGAATCTATGTATATATACATATTTATTAATATTAAACCTAGCATATTTTAGCTATATAAAAATATTGGTAATTTAGTCTCTGAAAATAAGCTATAGTAAAAAGAAAATCACTGGGTAGGTAAATGTGTGCCATTGGAAAAATGTAGAAAATGCCATAATAATCATTATATATAGGAAAAACCAACAGGAAACATCAACCTTATGTTTTTTATTATAAAAATTTCTAGTTTCAGGCTGACGAGATGGGGTTGTGGGTAAAGGTGTTTGTTTCACAAACCTGACAACTGGAGTTTGATCCCCAGAACCCAAGGGAGAGGGAGGGAACTGGCTCCTCAGAGTTGTCCTCTGACTCCACACATGGCACCATAGCATGTGTGCAGTCACCCACACTCAAACACACATGGGCACATAGTAATAGTAAAATGTAAAACATTTTCTAGTTTCATACCTAACAAAACTGAACTTTAAAGGATTTCTGCACTTTTTTTTGTCTTGTTTTTCCATTTTATCTTTACTCTCTCAAAGTATGTCAGAATCCCTTTGTTTCATTATGGATGAAATGGGAACAGAAATTGCTTTGGTGTGTTCTCTGTTTAGAACCAGAGAGGAAGTTTCGTGTGATGGTGTCTTGACAGTTTGGTAATACCAGTTCCTCATAGAATGTGAGTTAGCTGTTTTAAATATGTGATCTTTAAGACCTGGAGCCCACGGCCTTGTAGAACTCTAAAGACCTTTCACCAGCCAGCTCTGCCATTTTGTGCCATAGGTGAAGACTGTGCAGTGGCTTTGAGTCCAGGCTGTTTCTGTCTCATATGTGGTGCTCCTGTTGTCTTCCTCCTCTCAGATGATTGGGGCTGATGCAGAAGGGGTTAGAGAGCCATTGTGCCTTTTGCTATCCTAGCTGTGGGAGCCAGATGGCCCTCTGGTTTGGGTGCATGCTGC